GGGGGGGCAACGGGATGGGGCAGAACCGGGCTTGCGTTCACCCGCCGTCGGATCCACGAAAGGTCTAAGATAGAAAAGAGAGAAGCTGTGAGTGGGGCCAAGAGCTGCCCCAGGGTGTCCCCGCGGCCCCCCGTCACAGTGAGCTACGGCCGCGCCGTCCAGTCCGGGTAGAAAAGCGGAGGCTGCGGTCACAGCCGGGTCTGCGCCTCGGGGATGTAGATCTCGATGCTGTCCGCGCTCTCGGTGGCCGAGCTCTGGCGGAAGGAGGCAGCTCGTTTGGCTGCCAGGAGCCGCTTGCGGGCCTCCTGCCGCTGCCGGTCCACCGAGTCCAGGGAGCGCTCCTTCACCGGGTGCACCTTGGAGCGCGGCGGCTTCTTTGGTATCGGGGGAGGCACCTTCTTCTCCTCCTGCAGAGACAACGGTGGCTTCAGGGTGGGCACAGGGCCGGGACCCCCCGGGACGGGTGTCCCGGTGGGCGCGTGGGATGGGCATCCCCACGCACGGTGCGGCTGTGGGTGCCAAAGCCACGGTGAGACGGCCCCGCAGACCCTCCTGCCCTACACCGAGTTGCAGGGCAGGGCTGGGCATCCCTTTGTCTGTCTGCACGGGGGCGAAGGTGCCCACAAAGCCCCTGCCCAGCCCTTTGCAGGCAGCGCTGCCCAGAAACGCCCCGTGATCCAGCTGCGAGACCGCAGAGGGGAACAGCCCCTTCTTTAGCCTCGATTTTTGCCAGCTCTGTTTTTCAAGTGTTTGCTAAAAGCAGTCACTGGCGACAGCCCGGCAGCGGCGGTTTGGGTGCAGACGTGCTTGGGGAGGAGGAGGAGGGAGGGAGAGGTGACAGGGGGGGACCAGTGCCAGCCGCAGAGCCCTGCCCTTACCTTGGGCTCCACGATCTTCCACCCGTTGGCCTTGAGCTGCTGGAGCTCCGCGAACTTCATGCTGACGTCCTCGATGGAGAGCTGCAGGAGGTCCCAGAAGCCGGCCAGGTCTTGGAAGGTGGGTACGGGGAATGCGTTGGGATCCTGTGGGGACAGAGGGACAGCGTGCCATCAGCCCTGCTGGCCACGTGGCCATCCCACCCCCATGCTGCTGGGGGGGGATGTCTATCCAGCTCTCCCCCAGGGCATTACAAAGTCCCTTTTCTGCTAAGGGTACGATACCCCCCACACACCCGTCATGCCTGACCCCGCTGCGCCGCTGCCCAGCACCCACCATGTTCTGCTGGCAGAGGCGGTAGAACTGCTGCACCTTCTGGGACATGAGGAGCTGGGCGCTGCCCACGGCGCTCCGGATCTTCTCCAGGACTGGTGGGGGGAGAGCAGATAGTCACTCCCTTGGGGGGAGCAGCTCAGACCCCCCCCCAACACGTCGCACCTCCTCCCTCCTCCAGACCCTGCTAGTCCCAGAGGGTTTCCTGGTGTTTCTTGCCCCCGCCCAACGTCTTTAGCCTTGGCAGGGGAGATGCTCCAAGGTGGTCCCATGGCGGGAGCACTGCAGGACCGTGGCTGTGCCCCACCAGCTCTACAGCAGCCCCAGTCTCTCTCAACCCCGCAGACCCCCCTGACTCACTCTCCTCCGGCAGGTCATAGTCCTCAGCCTCCCTCTCCATCTGCTGGCACCAACCCTCCATCTTCTCCACCTCCGCCTGCAGCAGTTTGATGAACCATTCCCCGTCGCGGTGGCAGGGGGAGGCACGGCCGGAGTCGGGGAGGCTGCGGGAGCCCCGCTCCATCCAGGCGTCCCGCCGGGGCACCTCCACCGTGTCGTACTGCAGCTGGTAATCCTCCCGGTACGCCCACTGCCCCTGCGTGTGCACCGTCTTGTACACGGCGTACTGCCGGCCGGACTCGGGCTCGGAGGAGTGCCGCTGGAACGGCCGCCCGAACTGCAGGGCTTTGTCCTCGGTGGCCACGGCCAGGCCGCTGAAGCCCTCCAGCTCCAGGTCCGCCTGCACGCCCGCCGTCACGCTGTTGGAGCGCTTGAAGCGCGCTCGCCTGCGGAGAGCGAGAGCACGTGGGGACCCTGGCAGCCCTTGTCCCGTCCCCCCCCACCGGGTGCCATGGTGGGCAGGGGCAGGGCGAGGGATGCCCGCAGGCAGGATGGGGCCGGGGATGCCGCTCTGGATCCTGGAGCATTTGGGGCTGCGGGGACAGCCCTGAGCAGCCACAACCTGCCGGTCCCCCATCTCCTCTGCTCTTAGCCTGTTTCCATGGCTACCAGCGCTGGACCGAGGATGGAGAGGAGAGTGCACTGGGGCTGCGTGGGCACGTTGCCGGAGCTCCCCTCCCTCAGGCCGTGCAGGTCCCGGCACACAGCGCTCCCACCTCAGCCAAAATGTCATGTTTAGCTGCAGAAAAGCCCAAAGGTTTCATCTGCGCCTGGGCTGGGCTCAAAGCCCAGTGGAGGCCTGAGCACAGGGCGGGAGCAGGGGAGCCCCCTCCCCCGTGAGGTGTGGTGGTGAAGGTCAGATCCTGCCCCAGGTGGGGAGCAGCCGGCCCAGGATGGGGATGGTGCTGAGCTCTGGGGCTCTCAGCCAGAGGAGAGAGGGAAAAGACTCTGCAGGGCAGCGGTGTGAGGAGCTCAGGGAGCCCTTGGGGGACTCAATCCCCCAGTGTAGTGAGTGTCAGGTCTCAGCCCAGCCCGGCCACGCGGTACCTTTTGTCCTCCTCCACCTGCACCCCGATGGAGTGGAACTCCCTCTGGCTCCGGCTCTCCGTGTCCGAGTCGGAGATAGCCTCGACCTGCCGAGAGGCAGAGGGAGAGCGCTGGAGGGCGGCCCCGCATCGCCCACGCCACGCGGGCAGGCCCAGAGCCGGCTCGGAGCCCGCAGGGAGGAGCGAAGCCCACCTGGACGCCGATGGAGGGTCGCCACTTCCGCTGCCGAGCCAAGCTCCTCAGCTCCTCCCGGCCAGGGATGGCCTTGATGATGAGCGTGGAGGGCTTGGGAGCGGCGCGGGGCTGGACCGGCGGCAGGTCGAGGGCCACAGCCGTCACCTTGGAGCTCTCCAGGCTCTCGGCCGAGTTGCAGCGGGCCGCGGCGTCTTTGGACCACGCGGGGCTGCGGGCGACCTCGGCGGGCAGGTAGCTCTCGTGGGTGGACTCGGTGCTGCTCTGCGCCGTGACGGAGATGAGGGGTTTGGCTTTGGTTCCTGGAGGGATGGGAGGTGGAGCTTTTCTGTAACTGAAGGCTGTTGTGGGAGAGGCGCAGGATGAAAAGGCACGTGAAAACACAGACACTTGCTCATTTCCCGCCACGAACAAGGGGCCCCAGGGAAACAGTGCCCACCTCCTCCCGCAACGCGGGGCTCAGCTGGCTGAGAGCCAGGAGGGAGCTCAGAGGGGCTGTTTGGCCGGTTTATCCCCAGAAAGGGATCAGAAACCACCCAGGACCCACGCGGGCCACACCGCTGCAGCACCCAGCAAGGGGCAGAGACGGGGACAAAGGTGGAGGGAAGGAGGGAACATCAAATGGGGGCTGGGGCCACAGAGCAGCCCCCCGACCGGGGCTGAGCCACGAGCAGGATGCTCATGGCCTGTGCCAGGGCCGAGCTGCGAGCGGGATGCTCATGCCCAGAGCGGGACGCTCACACCCGGGGCCGGGGGCAGGAGGAGGGGCAGCAGTAGCCCTTGGCAAGTGCCCAGGCAGGGAGACGCAGGGGTCCCTCATGCAGCCGAGCCCCTGCCACCCCTCCCCGGGACTCACAAGTGCTGGGCTTCAGGATGCTGCTGGTGATGGGGGGCCCGGCGGGGGCCGACATGGAGAAGAGCGAGAGGCAGTCGTCGTCCTGGGAGCAGCCCGCCTGGATGGCCCGCAGGTAGCTGTGGCTCCGCATGCGGAAGCAGCCGGGCAGGTCCAGCGCCTCCACGGCCTGAGACTCCACCTCGCCGAAAACCGACTCGCAGACGGCCTCGAACTGGTGGTTGAGCTCGTCGTTGATCTGGGGAGAGCGGCGGGTGAGGCTGGGGGCGGTGAGCCGGGGCTGAGCGGGGCAGGAGATGCTCAGAGGAACATCCCCCCCCTGCCCCGACCTGCCCCGCCGTGCCCGTGACGTGGGGCCCTACCTGGCCGGTGGTGAAGGAGCGCCCGTAGCCCTGTCCCCGCGGGAGCATTCGCGGTGGCGTGCAGCAGCTGGGACAGTTACAGATATATGAATCAGAATAGTGCCTACTTGCAAACCTAATGAGAGACAGTGGGAATAGAAGGGATGGCACCAAAAGCAACACACTCAAGCAGAGCACTCGGAAACGCAGCCGCAGCGAAGCGCCCGCCGCTATCTCCACTCCCAACGGCCCCAAAGGCTGTCCGGGGGCACAGAGCTGTCCCCCAGCACTGCGGGGCCACCGGAGGGGTACGTGCCCGCTCCGGGCAGTGGGGTTGGGGACAAGAAGCCAGGTCATCACCCACTGGCACTGGGGCACATCCCAGACGTCTCCTTTTGAACGTGCCTCTTCTCCCCAACCTCTGCACGGAGCTGCAGCAGCGGGTCCCTCCCTGAAGCCCAGCGCATCCACATCCCCCCCGGTGCCTGCCACAGGGACAAGGCTCAGCCATGCGCGAGGACGATGCCAGGGAGCTGTGGCCCACGGCCCCGCTGCTGCCCACAGCGCTGTGACGGGGCCAGGAGGCAACAGCCCTTACTTGGTCCTGGCCTGGTCGGCGCTGGAGGAGCGGCGGTAGCTGTCTCGCCGCGTGGCCGCCCTGGGCGATACTTTAGCGCTGGCGTCCGAGTCGGCACTGTCCTCATCGCCCATGGCCTTGATGTAGCTGCCGCTGCGCATCCGTCGACACGGGATCTCTCCGTCCTTGCCCACCGCTGGGTACCCGCTCCACTCGTCCTGTGGCACCTGGAGCAGGAGGCAAGTGTGGAGAACACACAGTGTCCAGGGTCCCACGGTCAGGACCCAGGAGCAGGCTGGGTGGTGACGTATCAGCTGTCGGTCCCACCACGCATCGCTGATGCTGGCACCACGGGGTGCTCGCCGGGGTGTGGCAGGGGGAAGGTGTCCCCCCAGCTCCCTGGGGAGGGCGGTAGGGCCGGCACCCTGCCCTGGTGCCCCCAGTGCTTGTGGAGAGGGGTCCCAGACACCTCCCGCCCCTGGCCAGCGCAGCATTGCTGTGTCTCCTTCCCCCGGGAAATGGAGAGAAGATTTAATGAGTTTTTAGCTGGAAGGGGATGCCCTAGAAGGGAGCCCGGTGACGAGGCAGGAGGTGGCACCCAGCCAGGCACAAGCAGGGTAAAAGCCACAAGGAAGGAGCTGGTCTGACCCCAAATCCAGCGGGAATGGGGCAGGAGGTGGCAGATGGGGCTTTGCACTGCCAGCGAGGGGACAGCAAGGACCAGCACAGGACCCCAGGGGACAGCACGCAGGCGATGGGGACACGGAGCTGAGCTGGAGCGTCCCCAAGGCACCCCAAGCTGCTGGGATGGACAGTCCCAATCCCAGCTCTCCCCACGGCTTCGCCAGTCCCCGGGGTGGCAGCCCCCTGCCCTGCCTGGCCCCTCACCTGCAGGTATTGGTACGCTCGGTCTTTGGCCTTTGCTTCCTGAAGCATCAAGGTCTTCTCGGTGCCGCCGGCGCTGGGGTAGGCTTCACGGGCCTGGCTGACGGTCATGGTGTGCCAGGCACTCCTCTTGAGCGTCTGGCCATCCAGAGACATGGACATGCCAGCGCAGGCCAGGCATTTTCCTTCCCCGCCGCCCTTTAGACTCTTCAAGGTCAAGTCTCTGAAGGCACTTTCAGGAGCGTCCACGCAGTACTGGGTGCCCTGGTCGGCGGCGTGCCGGCCCGACACCATGTAGCTGCTGTCGCTGTCCAGGTTGTCATCGGAGCTCCACCAGCCCATCATCTTGGACCGGTGCCGGGAGTCCACCTTGCGGTCTTTGCTCTTGCTGCGCTTGCCGTGGCGGGACTGGTGGTGGTGGTGGTGATGGTGGTGGTGGTGGTGGTGGTGGTAGCCGTCCCCGCGGCCGTCCATCTTGGCACCGTTGTAGTCCCGCTTGGCCGGCGCCTCCAGGGAGTGGGACTTGGCGAAGAGCTTCTGGACGGAGTGGACGAGGTGGCGGTGGGGGAATCGCCGGTGGGAGTTTCTCCAGGCTTTGGATGCAATAAAGGCAAGAAGCGAGTTATTCTGTAATGGTAATTACGCTCTTCCAGTTTATCCTAGCACATAATTGTGTGGGCGGTAGGTTCCCACTGGTGGTAATTACCCCGGTGTTAAATGGCACAAAATTCAGCCGGGCTGGGCTCTTCCCCCTCCACTTTTTGAGTCTGGTTTGGTGGCACAGGTCCCCTCCTTCCCCAGGGCCGCGCAGCAC